CTCAGAAGTACAATTAAGTGTTCTGGAATACTCATACTTCACAATGTTGTTCATAGCTTGTCATGATCCACACAATCAAAAGCCTTTGAGTAGTCAATAAAGCATAGGTAAACATCTTTCTGATATTCTCTGCTTTTAGCCAAGATCCACCAGACATCAGCAATGATATCTCTCGTTTTACGGCCTCTTATGAATCCAGCTTGAACCTCTGGAAGTTCTCTGTCAAGAACTGCAAGATTGGTGGTTAAAACCCAGATGGCACTTAACAACAACAACAATATGTTCTTATGGGAAAAAGATGAGACTTTTTTTTCCATAAAGGTTTACAACCTAGGAAATTCTGTAGAGGGTCACTATGAGTCAGAACGGACTCAGCACACAGCCACCAGTCACCATATGTTCTTAAATTTAAACCTCTCCCTGTGAAATATTTAATATTTAGCTGTATGTTTTTATTTTTGTTGTTCACTTATGTTATTATTAACTAACACCTCTGTGTCTTAGTTTTTCTGTCAAAAACCAAGAACATGAATAAACTGGCTGCCATCAAGGTTTAATGAAAGTCATTAATTCCCCATATGTATTGAAGATGAACTGTGCTCTATTGCACAGAAATAGATTAATATCACTAGGAATTTCCTTTTAGTCATCTGTTGGTGGAGAAGAGCCCACAAAATTTTGGTTTAAAATTTGTACCAACCAGGTACTCCTAATCTTTCTTACTCATTTCTCTATTTGTATAATTCTTTCATATTTGTTTTTAAAACTAGAAGTCTAGTCTACATGATTCAATGTGTTTGAATTGTTGGGGATGGTTTTAAGCTATAAAGAAAGAATAGCATCAGATAGAAAGAGCATTCCTTATGAATTCATACTTTAATAGGTTCTCATTCACTTGAAATAATTTCAGGACACTGCATACTACCAACCTGAAAACAAATATTGTGATTCTAGCATTACAGAAGCCTACTGTTCAATTTTCTTTGCCCTAACTTTTAGATAAATGCCTTTGGAAAGATAGTATAATGATTAGAAATGAGGGAAATCTATGGAAGTGAAGGAGTTAGCACTAAAATGCTTTATCAAGGTAGAACTCTTAGGAGTTACTCCCTCAACAAACAAGTGCACTAAAAACAACATGGACTTCATCACAGAATATGGTTTGTAAGATTTTGGTCTCCCTCTGATTCTAGATGAAAAGACATATTAATTTGCCCTGCTTAATAAATCCAAACCTTCTGTATGACACAGAACAGTGCTCACTATATGAAGTTGAATGAGATGGAGCAGTAAATTAGAATTTACCTACAGGGTACCAGATCTTGTTTGTACTATG